GGCCGCTTTTAGTAAGGAGGCCGATGATGGTGACGTTCTAGGCTGGCCTTGACCGTTGGAGCCAAGGTTTTGTTAGGTCGTGGTAAATTCGTCTGAAAGAAAAGAAAAAGATCACGGGGGGGGGCTGTGGACTGCCACATGGACATTGTTTTGCTATCGTGAAACGGGAATTCCCCGACTCGCTCTCATTGGCTCAATCCACAATATAATTATTCATCACTGCGAGCCGGTGAGATTGCTGTTGGTCTGCAGGGTGATGGGCCATGATGTAAAGGAAAAGTTTTTTGGGGGCTTTTTTTTTTAGTTGGGGGAGAGGGTGTTCCTGTTGCTCTTGCGGGTTATTGCGGGTTTACCTCATCATCACTTCCTCAAAAAATCATCGAGTAATTCGGTCAAGCAAATCACCACCGGCTTTGCTCTTTCCGAACATTTCTGAAGCGGCCATTCCTCTCACTCTACCCCCCACCCTCAGGTGTCCACTTCTAACTTCATGACTCCATCTTCCAAGCACCTGCCGGGAAGGTCGCAGTTGAAGAATTGGGAATGACCAGCAGCTGCTCAATTTCAAATCCGTTATCGCGGGATGATGGCAGCAACATGTCCGTGCGTGCAGTCAATCCAACCATCGGCCCCGAAGTCGCCATCACGTATTCCCCGGATCGCCGTCGACAAGATCTTTGACTCTCGAGCCTCCCAAGCAGCAAGGGATGCGGGGTTGAGCCGTTTGCCTTTACCCAAACTCCCAAAGGGTATCAAGCATGAAGTTCGGAGCACGTCGTCGACGCTGGTTTCCGATATCCGTGAAACTCCCGGGCTTTTTGGGCCCTTTTCTCCTCATCTTCCCGTCGCTCAGAGGCCTTGCGCTCTTGTCTCGACGTCGATGCCGTCTCTGCCATTGTCCCTTCATTTAGCCAAGGGTCGTCATTGGCCCACGGTGCATCATAGCGATTGCGAGATGTTAACAGGCCTCATCAAGACGTCCCCTTTATCTTTCTTTTCTTTGTGGGGCTACGGTTCATGTTCCCCTCCCCTGTTCTTAGGACAGGGATGAAGGGCTTGACCCCGGACTCGCCCAAATGGTCTAAGCGGTTTCACTGTGTCGCCTCTTGCAGGTGCTCTCACTCTTTGGTCTTGTCACACCATGTATCTTCACGGCGGCCATCCCCTTTTGAGCCACATGCCCAGGACTTCGAGTACGCCAAACAACGCTGTGCCTGTGAGAAATTCTCTGTGTACCTCCCCTCACCCATGCCGACTGGGGGCAACCATCGAGTACCTCGAGGCGACAAAGAGCCCTTGTCTCAGACCCTTTCACACTGTTATTGTCACCCTCGTACTCGATGTCAAGGAGGCAAGGGGTCCTTCTACATACTGTGCTCCTCCCCCTTGTGAGCAACAGGGTCAGGATTCGCAGTCTCCACTGGACATGCAGCAGGAGCTTGTCGCCTCGAAATTCGAGGCAGCAGGCTCTTCCTGGGAGAGCTGGGGAGGTGCCGTGCATACATATACAACCTCATCACTCGCCGACCTAGAAACCGGTTGTTTGGTGCGGGAAGTTTAGAACCGTTTCCTGGCCCTTAACCGTACCATAACTTCCGGGCCAGTGCGACTATACCTCTTACACAGACGAACCAAGGACCCTGTCAATACAAATGGCTCACATTGCCAACTGCCTAGGTGGCTCCATAGACGAAGACACTACCGAAGACCATTCATCGCTCTTAAGTTATTATATATCAAAGAGTGTCTCCCCACAAGCTTCCAATGAATCGGTAGGCACCACCTAATATCCCACCCGTATATTTTCACAAACTGGTTTAAGCTTACACATGGGTTCGTCACAGCTAGCTGGTGCTTCATCAGTATCATCATCAACAACAACACCGGGGGAGAACAAGCCTTTCACTTGGAGAATGCAGCAGACCGAGAGGAAATACCAGCTCTTTCCCAAGGGGGCTCAAACGCCAACCACGCCCGCGAAGGCACTGGATCCAGAGCAAGCATTTGCCTTGGCCATGGGGGACAAGACCGAGAAGACGACGGCTGGAGCTGGACTCAGGATACGAATCAAGGAGCACAATCTCATTCGCCGACGAAAAATCAGTGTGCCGGAATTGGGACCTATGACTACGGTACAGGAAGTTGCCATGGACTCTCGTATGTACCCACTGCAGTCTCAAGCTTGTTGAACTACTTACTGACAGGTTCAACAGCCACCATTCCTGGACGTCCGCCATTTCATGAGCGGTCCATCAGCGCACCAGGACACTGGAAGCATGTCCATCTCGCCGATACCTCCATGTCAACAAAGCAGGAGAAGCGTGGATCCATGCTCAAGCAGCCATTGTCCCCCAAGAATTTGACACCACTCGTCATTCCCACTTCCAACTCGGCTGTTCCCCGACTAACACGCCAACCGTCTTTGAACCGGATGCGCTCTGCCACCACTCCAATCGACTCGGCGCTCCGCTCGGCCAAGACCGACGACTCTCCAAGGCTCAGAACGCCTTTCACTCCAATGTCTGCCGCATTGACACCGAAGTCTGCCGCCACAACGGTAATGACCAACTCTACCCTCCCGACTCCCCTCTCGGCTCCTGCCGAGGCTCGCTCGTCGCCAATGCCCTGGGAAAAAGCAACAAACTATGCAGTGATATGCACGCCAAAGGAAACTTCACCAAACCTTCCTGCTACAAAGATGGATTCTGATGACGATCCCACGCCAAACACCAAGACCGTCCACAAACGCAACGTATCCGACACAGGTAGTATCATGGAGAGAGGCCGACCAAGGAAGCGATCCGATATCACGGGCACTGTAGCAGGACGATCTGTTTCCAAGAAAGAAACGAGCGCGGAACGACGGGCGTTTGAGCAGCTCCCAAAGGGATGGAAGGCTAGCGAGGCAGTCAAGGTCTTGAGTGCGTCCGAGGTTGCATCTCTGCACAAGCAGGCCCTTGGGCAGGCGGCGAGGTTCGAGGTTTTAAGGAAACAGGATGTTGACAATCTTTCGAGGGTAGGTGACACATGCTTTTGGAATCTCTTGGGCGTAATTTAAGCTAACCATTAATCCAGGAACTTCGACACCTCGATGAGAGGACCGAATATCTCCGTCGTACTTACAACTCCCTCCGCGCCGGAAGACGCAACCTGCACACTCGTATTTGTCAGTATCTGAGGTCTCCCCGCACGGCAAAGTTCAGCCACGATTCTATGCTCAAGCAAGAGGAAGCTCTTGCTGAGCTTGATACGTCGATCGACGACTGGGTGAACAAACTCGAAAAGGCTGAAAATCGCCGTACTCGAGTTCGCCAGAAGCTTCTTGAGCATGTCGCAGCGGCTGCCACTCTTGCTATCTCGCCGGAGAACATCGCTACTGTCAACGAATCCCTGCAGCAAGCCATGGGGGTTCGACCCCTCAACTACCCAGGCTGCCCTACTCAAATGTCAACACCTCCTCGGAGCCCAACCAAGACGGCCTTCACACAGACGGAATCTCCATCTTCACCTCCTCGCGTGGTTGCCCATGTTCCTTCCACTATCATTGAGCATCCATTGTTTGAGGAGCCAGGAGCCATGGATGGCAACGGGGAGAGCTATGAAACCACTCTGCGCCGCGCCGAAACCATTCGCATCTATGCAGATAATGATGTCTACAGTGTTACAGCACTCCTCTTGGATGTTGAAGATGTCATCGCCAAGATGGGAAGCGGCGACTCTTCTCCGGCCGGAAAGGAGGAGCAGGCTCCGATTGCCAAAGACGTTGTCGTAGTCCGGGAACGGTCAGCCACAAGGGACGACTCTCTCTCTGACGCTGAGAGGAAGAAAATTCATCGGACCCGCAGTCACGGTTTGCTCAGGGGTTCTCCTGCCCCCGTTATCAGAAAGCCACTTCCTGTCCCGAAACTTGAACATAAGGCTTCTCTCCCAGCACTACCCTGCACGGCCCAGAAACTGGAATCCAAGACTTCATCATCCTCGTTGCCTTCTATTCCTCCAACCTCAACCACAACCACAACATTATCAACTTCTGCTCCATCAGAAGAAGGGCCTTTAAGCCCCCAGATCTTCTTGACCAACGCTGTTTTCCGACCCTAGTGGTCATTCATTCCCCCCCTCCCCCCTTTGTCTTACACCCAATATCTTTTTTTTATCACATCCTCATTTAATGATGCTTATGACCGACCATATACTCTCCTTTACAGCACATCGATACCCCACATTTCGCGCCTTTCCTTGAAACATTTTTTACTCTTTACTTTTTATTCTTCACTTGTAATACTTTTTTATATATCACTTCTATTTTAGCTTTTTTTTTTTTTTTTTTAAAAAAAAAAAACCCCCCATGGCAGTGGCAGATTTTCCGCCTTGCCAAATCATAACGATGTTTACGGCCGTCAAACAACAAAGCAAATATAAAGATGGAGAGAGAGAGAGGGAGCAGAGAGATAGGCAATAAATATACCCCAAGTTTCGATGGAAAATGGTAAAGGGGGAAAAGGTCTTTTTTTGAAGGGTCTATAGTTAGTCATGCATCATCATCTATCCGGAGTTTTGCGTTTTTTTGTTTTTTTCCTTCACAAGCATTTTCCTTTTTTGTAAGGGATGGGGTTCGAAACACAAAGCATTTAAGGGATAGCACTGTACATACATACACGAATAAGAAGAAAGTTTGAAACAAGACAACCCGTTTGCAAATGCTATTACATCGTTATATCACATGATGTATGATCAGTTACACAACTCCTATCTTTTGTTCCTTACTTGTCCAATAGAATTTTAATTTTTTTTCCCTGTCGTGTAACATGTCACACAAAAAAAAATCTGACATAAGATAGCTCAACAGCCGGAGTTTTTCTCATCCCCCTCAGCACCAACTACTTTACTCACATGTGCCCATCGGATACGGCCCCCTTCCAAGGGCAAATTTTTTTTCTGCCTTTTTTTCATGCAGTCAGTCGGTCATATGCGAACTCTCTCTCATCTAAACCAAAAAAAGTTGGGCGACCCCGGAATCGAACCGGGGTTTCTTCGGTCGTCATGTATCGGCCGGTGTGTGTGTGCCGAAACCACAACGAAGCGTCCTGACCACTAGACTAGTCACCCTGTCAACTATGTCTGTTTGCGGTGTTGAGTGTTTACTTTGGTAACTGTGCTTACATATGGAGTAGTTAGTTACCACCCACCCCCTTACATCCCTTTGACCGACCATTCGGATGTGCCGAGCCGGAGATACAGTAATGGACGAAACTGCTGGGACAAACGGATATACTTGACATGTCATTTTTTGAGGGGGTGATCGGTGTAGGTACATGCCGTTAGACAGATATCACAGTGTATGTTGGGCAGAGGTACTTACCGTGTACTTACTGACTTACACAAAAGTCAAAGTGGCGTTGGATAAAAAAAGAGAGAAACAGATAGAACTGAATAAAAACATGACTTTTTCTTTTATACCAGCATAGCATTTGGGGAAAGAAAAAAAAATGAGAAAGACTGGAAGCAACATTGATTTTCTGTGCAAAGCATAGCATTTATATGGACCAGGACACATACCCATCCATAGTTGTATCATAAAACATTCAACACCAACATGAAAAACAACAAACCAAATCTGGACGGATAAGGTACTCTATACTAGTTATCGCCATCAACAACATTAGTTTTTGGACCTCTCATATGAGAACTCTTGTATATCCGGAATTGCTTCATAATAGTCACTTAAAGTAAATGGTCATTTGCTTGGTTTTATTGCTAATATAAATCTCTATTAAACTTGAAAAAGAGAGCGACTTCATATCCTCCGTCCTTCTTCTCCCCAAAGAGGACATTTCTTTGGCAGTGTTAAATATTGTTGGTATGCATATTGTATGCATATGCATCTCCATCTCTTACAAGAGGGAAAAATTGGTTTAATAAAAAGGGGGGCTCTCTAATCAAATAAACATAGCCCATAAAAGCAGAATAATAATATAAAAAGAAAAACAATAATAAAAAAAGGCTCAAACATCCACTTTCGGGGGGGGGGGGGGGGTGGGGGGGGGTGGTGGGGGGGGGCGGGGGGGGGCGGGGGGGGGGCGGGGGGGGGGGGGGC